AAAAAAAAAAAAAAAAAAATTTTTTTTTTTTTTTTTTTTTTTTTTTTTTTTTTTTTTTTTTTCAAGATTTGTGAAAATTTTTTTTAAAAAAAAAAAAAAAAAAAAAAAAAAGGGAGGTGGGGGCTTAACCATGCGACCTCATGGATTAAGCCCATGCGGTCACATGAGGCCCTTCTGAGAATGGGAGGGCCGACGACATGCAGTGGCATGTTTATGAAACCTAACCGTTAGGTTAGTTTTTTGATCGTTTTTTATTTTAAATTGGTGGCTTTTCATCCTTGTTTTGCACCATTTCTTGAAAAACTTGTCAATGCCTGTAAATAGGTGATCCAAGTGCAAGAAAGATATATTGAGTTCCATTAAAATTTATCCCCAAATATATTTCGAATATTGAGAAAATTTATCACATAATTCTTCCATTTTCACTTGTTCATTGTGAAGAAATACATTTGCTTTTTGGTGTTCTTCTTGTTAAGGCTTGTTTAATCCTACAAACTATTTGCCAAAAATCCTTAAAAAGCATTGGAAATGAAACAAATAACGTTTGAGGACAGTGAGATTAATTTCGTGTTCAAGTCTTCATTGATATACTTTTATAATTTTCTTCTCCATTGCCATTATTTTCAACAATCTTAAACGTTAGTTGTTACTATTATTGCAATGGAGACGAAATCGACAATTGCTACTATCAAAATGATGAATCAAGACCTGGTACGCTTGGACAGATTCGATGGTGCAAATTTCACAAGATGGCAAGACAAACTTAAATTTCTATTAACAGCCTTGAAGATCTTCTATGTACTTGATCCAAAACTACAGCCCATTCCCGATGCAACTAACAATGATACCAAAGAAATTCGCATAGAAAGGAAGAAACGGGAAGAGGACGAATTGACATGTCGTGGCCATATCCTAAATGCATTATCCAATCACCTCTATGATCTTTACACCAACACTACATCGGCAAAAGAAATCCGGTACGCGCTAGAAAGTAAATACAAAGCCGAGGAGGAAGGTACCAAAAAGTTCTTAATATCTAAGTATTTTGATTTCAAAATTTTGATAATATACCGTTATTACCTCAAGTGCATGAGTTACAAATAATTGTAAACAAATTGAAAGCAGTGAAAATTGAACTTCCTGAAACTTTCCAAGTGGGAGCAATTATTGCTAAACTTCCTAGTTCTTGGAAAGGATATAGGAAGAAAATTCTTCACAATTCCGAAGACTTTTCTTTGTAAGATATACAAAAATATCTTCGTATTGAGGAATAATCAAGGGCAAGAAATAAGATTGAAAATTCTTATGAAGGCCCTTCAAAAACTAATGCCATGGACAATGTGGACAATTCCGAAAAATTTAAAAAGAAAGGAAAATTTCTTGGTCTTAGAAAGGATCAAGGAAAGTTCAAAAACAAAGCCAAAGGACCTTGCTATATTTGTGGAAAATCAGGACAATATGCCAAGGATTTAGACATAGAAAACAACAAAAGAAGGAAGGACAAGTGAACTCCGTTGATGAGATTATCGCTACGGTGAGCGAAATCAATGCAATCCAAGGCAAAGTTCCAGGTTGGTGGTACGATACATGCGCTACAATCCATGTAAGTTATGATAATTCTCTCTTCAAAACTTATCATGACATTGAAGACAATCAAGAGATACAAATGGAAAATGAAGGAAGATAAAAAATAATTGGCAAAGGAAACGTGGAACTCATTTTCTCTTCATGAAAGAAAATCACTTTGACAAATGTCTTGCATGTACCGGAAATAAATAGAAACTTAACAAGTGGTGTATTTTTGGGAAAATCTGGAATTAAATTTGTTCTTGAATCTGGAAAGCTAGTATTAACCCATAATGGGCACTTTGTTGGAAAGGGATATTCCACCGAAAGAATGGTCAAATTATGTACTATTGAGGATAACTCAAATAAAGTTAAATCTTTTGCGTATGTTACTGATTCATTTAATTTATGGCATGGTAGATTAACACATATAGGAGTTAATACTATGAAAAGAATGATTAAATGTGGACTAATACAATGTGATATTGACAACTTTGAAAAATGTGAAACATGTGTTAAATAAAAAATGATTAAAAAGCCATTTCATAGCGTAGTAAGAACAACAAGATTACTTGAACTTGTTCATTCCGACATATGTGAATTGAATGGAATGTTAACTAGAGGCGGTAATAGATATTTTTTTACTTTTATTGATGATTGTTCTAGATATACCTATGTGTACTTATTAAAACATAAGGATGAAACATTTAGTGCCTTTAAAACTTATAAGATTGAAGTTGAAAATCAATTAGGAAGAAAATTAAAGATTTTAAGAAGTGATAGAGGTGTGAAATATTTTTCTAATGAATTTAACATGTTTTGTGAATAAAATGAAATAATACATCAAGCTTCTGCACCTAGAACACTAGAACAAAATGGATTAGCAGAAAGAAAGAATAGAACTCTTGGAAATGATAAATGCAATGTTGTTAAATTTTGAATTACCTTTTAACCTATGGGGTGAAGTCTTACTTAGTGCTTGCCATATAACAAAGAGGATCCCTATGAAAAGGAATAAGATTTCTCCATACGAAATTTGGAAAAATAGAAAACCAAATATTAGTTATTTTAAAGTATGGGGGTGCCTTGCCTATTGTAAGAATATAGATCCTAAGAGAACCAAGTTAGATCCTAGAGGCATCTAATGTGCTTTTGTGGGATATGCTCTCAGTAGCAAAGCCTATAGATCATTAAATCTATAAACAAATGTTATAATAGAATCAAGAAGTGTGGAATTCTTCGAGGATATAATGGTGGCTAGGAAATCTGAAAATAATAATAAGCATATTTCAATTTTTGGAAGCTCACCAAAAGAAACATCCATAAAAGATGTTGAAATTGAATCTCGAAGAAGTAAAAGAATTAGAAAAGAAAATAACTTATGATCAGATGAAATAGATCCCCAACTTATTTCTTTTTACTTAGTAGAAGGAGATAGGAAGGATGTTGTAAGAACAATTCCCTTTGTTCTTCAAGTGGAAAGTGATCCTTATACGATTCTATTGGTTGCGAGTGGGTGTTTAGGAAGAAATACGATTCCGATGGATCTCTTAATACCTACAATGCTAGATTAGTGGTTAAAGGGTATCGTCAAAGAGAAGGAATTGATTACTTTGACACATATGCACCCGTAGCTAGGATAACGTTAGCATCCATTTATGATCTACATGTTCATCAAATGGACGTCAAGACGGCGTTCCTAAATGGAAATCTTGAAGAAGAGGTCTATATGGAACAATCAGAAGGGTTCGTTCCACTGGAAAATGAACATAAAGTATGCAAATTAATTAAATCCTTATATGGACTAAAGCAAGCTACCAAAAAATGGCATGAGAAATTTGACTCTAAAATAATGTCAAATAGATTTAATCATAATTTAGTAGATAAATGCCTCTATACGAAAGTGAATGAAAATTTATTCACGTTAGTATGTCTATATATTGATGATATGCTAATCATTAGCAATAATATAGATGGGATCAAAGAAACAAAATTGTTTCTATCCTCTACTTTCAAAATGAAAGATCTTGGAGAAGTTGATACTATCATTGGTATCAAAATTAAAAAGGATGGTGTGGGTTTTACATTAAGCCAATCACATTATGTTGAGAGTGTGATAAACAAATTCAAATATTTGAATTTTAAAGAGGCTAACACTCCTATAGATCCAAATATTAAATTAATAAAAAATGAAAGTAGAGCAATTGTACAAATAGAATACACAAGTGCAATTGGAAATCTTATGTACGTATCACAATGTACAAGACCCGATGTAGCATTTTCTGTAAGTAAACTAAGTAGGTTCACTAGCAATCCAAGTTCAGAACATTGGAAGGCCATCGGTAGGGTTCTTGGTTACCTAAAGAAAACCAAAAATCTTAGGCTACAATATACAAAATTTTCTAAAATCTTGGAAGGATATA